ATCATGTGCTGAAAGAGTCCCCTTTGCTCCCATTGCACACAAGACCCTGGTGTATCGAGTGACACTGGCAATCCTCTCCTCTGATACTGTAATGGTAGAAATATCCCTACTTGGTAGAGGACCTTTCTCAGGAGCTGGCCTCAGCTGGATCAAATGACAAAGATGATTCTACAGCTGACTAAATAATGCCCTAAGTCTGATCTTCCCTAACAGAGAGATACTGATACACCCTGACTCGACTCTACATGCTTTTTCTTTGGGGGACAGGTTAAGAAAATAGGCACGTGATTTATGCTAGGCATCCCACTCCATGCTTGAGGTTTTTTCCTGCTGTGAATCTCCCCTTTGCACCTTCTTTTTGGCCTGGTCTAGATACATTTTGAAAGATGATTTTAGTTCTGCTCCAAGTTCTCACCAGCCACAAGGTTCAGATGTCAATTAGGAAGTGGAAACATTTTTCAAATCTGTGCACTTACTCATCTAGAACAAGGCCTGGAATTCAACTATTTTGCATCTTGAGAGAGCAGCAAGATCTACCTCCTGAGTGTTGTCTCCCAGGTTTGATCTCCTGCCTCTTTTACATCCAATGTTTTTGGATGCTTTAACTGGAGTATATTACTCCTGTTTGCAATTAATAAAGAGTATTTCCAGACTGTCTTGTATGAGGCCTCATCCTGCATGTCTGGTTGGAGAACAGGCCTTAAGGTAACCAGTGGGGAAGGGTTGGGGGGTGGTGGAATCTAAGTGTCAAGCTGCTTTGAAATTATTAAAGTTTCAGTGATTGTGCATGCATCCACTGTAGGAAAACTTCAAGGTCCTTAGCAGTGCTGCTTTGGGCTCTGCTTAACTGACTTAACTTCATATACATTAGAAGAATTATATTTAGTAAGTTTGGTTTTGCTGAAAAGGAATTTACTTTGCTAGGCAGTAGTTGGCTCTGTTGTGAGTTTAGATATAGATAATTTGTTAACTTTCTGGCTAAAATAGTGGAACATGGGTATATTCTAAAAATAAGCTGTTTGCTAAGGTTTATTATTGCATCCTGTCTCTGTCAGTGGTCTAAGCGCAGGGAGTGTCTGTGAATGATTTATTTCTGTATGGGTGCCTCAGATAACAGACTACTATAAATACTGAAATTTAAGGAATACGTTTTCTTGATTAAAGCATCTATATAGAGACCAACAATGTACCCAGTAACTCAGCAGTTGAAACTGGTATTGGGAAAAACCGTTGCAGTAAACCATTTTACAGTTCAATTATGTTCAAGGAAAAGTCCTTTCTTTGGCACTGATTTTTCCATCTGTCTAACGGGCAAAAAATGAAGAACTGAAGACATGCTTCCTGTCCCTTTTCTGTCCCCAGACAATTGTGAAACGCTGACATAGGTGAGAACAAACAAAAACATTGGCTTAAATACTTTGTCTGATCTAACTAATTTGTCTGGGTGAACTATATCTGCCTATATACCTACCATCTTACACTAGATGTGCATAGAAACTATGGCTGTGGTTTTCTGAGTAAGTTTCAGTACTGGAATAACTAGCATGACCAGCATCAGTTGCATATGATACCCCATCCTTTTCTCCTTTGAATCTCTTGCTTTGGAATTAACTTCTACTTTCTGTAATATTTGTGTGAGAACCTTTAGAAAGTGAAGATATCTCTTTGCAGTTCAGTCACTGTTCTGTTTTTAATGGGAATTGGTTCTTAGAGAGCCAAACCCCTATTAGAGTTTTCTCGGGACTGGCCTATTTCCTAGACGCATATAGCTGAGAGTTTTGCTGCAACTTCCATTCCTTGTTTTCATTAGTTGATGCTCTGAATACTCAGAGTTCAAGTCACTGAGTATCCTGTAGATAAGAGTTAAAACCTGGAACTCGATGAAGCTGATGTGCATGTTATAGACGTGCATCTTAGATACTGTCATAGAGAAAATGCATTGACGCATGTCATGTTCGGAGCCCAATGGCATTCCTATGACAAAAATGGTCTTGGGCTCTGCTGCTTTGTGTTGTTGAGTCCATCCAAACGGTGACAGAATCTCCCAGTAGACAAGAATCTTCTCAATGCACTTCTTTATTTCTTTCAACATACTTTCTTTATTTGTGTGAGATAGGGAAGAGCTGCTCAGGAGAAAAACAGCTCTTTTGACAAATACAAATAGAATGACAGCGACAGCTGTTGAATGAGCTTATGGAAAGAAGGGAATGAGAATAAATATCTTGACCCTTTACTTTTTATCCAAGGAGACATAAATCCAAAGAAACTTATTTATCCTATTTTACAGTGATTAAAAAAGTATATAGTCTAGCTTTTATAGAACAAATAGAAAATTTTGTAGAAACTTCTAATGCTTATTTTTATTCATGAAGCAGAAATATTCTTATTTTTAGAGATTCTTTAGAGATTGTGGGAGTTGTTACTTGTGATGAATTACTGTTACTGGCAACATTCTCATGTTAGTAGTTTAGGCAATAATGAAACATGTAATAAAATCACCATTAATATTTTCAGTTAACTTCACAAGGTGCCCATCAGTGGGGTCTTAGTCATCCTTCATAACATAATATGAATTCATAACTCGTTTCCTGTCTCCCTGCACCCTATCTTCTGCATTAAGCAAATGGAACAGTGGATGAAAACTTGAAGTGCAGCCTCTGACCTAAATTCAATATAGGTCTGTTCCAAAGTGGGGTGGGCTGTTCCTAATTTATATCATCAGCTCTATGCACCAATAATTTATGCACATATGACTTTATTTCATAATACTGCAATCATATCACTGTTTCTTCTATAATGTTGTACAATTGGTGTCACTACATAGTGTTGCTTGCAGGTTTTCATTAATTCATTTCTGGATTGTAGTGACTGAATTCCTTCCGATAGCAAGTGAAATTGAATGCAGCAAAACCTCATGCATCAGTGCTTCAAAATTACAAAATGGTTGTAGTCAGTGCTAGCAGCCTACAAACTACCAAATTGTTTGTTAATGCTGGCACTTCGTATCATTTCATTTTTCTTCCACTGCGGAAACCTTCTATCTGTTTGTTCTTTAATGTTTTATTGGTGTAATGGTAAACAAAGAGACTTACAAGAAACATTTAGTGATATACTAGTTTAGTAATATACTTGTGCACTTTATAGTTGTTAAAGAGTAGTTACACAGGAAGCTGTTTGTGGGAGGGGGGAAAGGTATACTGGGAAATAACTGTTCTTTTCATTTTCAAGCCAAAAATGATGCAAGAACATCACTATGTCATTCTGCTGCTTAAAACACAAGCTGTATGCTTTCTACTTGGTACGTGAGGTCTCGTTTTATTTGAGTTAATGTGTGTTCTGGAGTTGGAGTGAAATAGTTAAGGAAACACACTGCATTGAACTGTAAAATTTCCTGTGTGTGTGTGTTTGGTTTTTTTTTTTTTGGCAGACCAGATAGCACATTTTCATACGTAAGTCTCCCTTTGCTAGAGAGTTCTCATGTTTGATACTCACTCAGAAGGAAGTAATTATCATCTGCTATCACTTTCTTGGCTGAGATTGTGACTCCCAGGACCAAATTACTTGGCATGCGTTACAGAAGCAGGACATTGTCAGTTTATAGGTAGACAGAAGTTAGGAGGAAAAAAAATATATACAGTTAAATACCAATTTAATCAGCCATTTTCTTTGATAGAAAGAAATAAATATAGGTTATCTGGCCAACTGATTCTTGACAAATCATTTAGGATTAAACCTTTTGCTCATGTCAGTGATCATAGCTCTTAATTTCTATATCACCTGAGTGAACTACTGCCAGACAAAACTCCTCTGTTCAATAGTTGTTTGGGTACATTGACTCCAGAATTTCAGCACACTCTCTCCAGCACAGAGCCTGGAGAGAACTGTTCCTCAATATGATCTTCAGTTCAGCTAGCCCTGTATCATGCTTCTGATTATCACGATCAGAAGACAGCACATGAACACGAGATGAGCTGTGGTATGTCGCTCAAGGAACCTCCCTCCTGGGCACCGGAGGAATGTCTCGCTCAGTATTAATGTAGGTGCTCAGGATAGTTCTTGAAGGTTTGAAGTCCCACTAGTTCAGAGTCTTATCTGTGAAGATATGCCAGTGGAAGCAGAGCTGTTCTACTCCCAATATCGAAGGCAACATATTTTGAATAACAGAATTGTGTTTATGCGTGGGTTATTAGAACTGCTGCTTCAGAAGATCTGTTCCTAGTTTTATCACCTTCTTTATCTTCCAGAAGACTTTGAAGAGAATTGAATGTTATGTCTTGTTCAGAAAGATTGTCTTCCGTTAATTTTAGAGAAAACTGCAATCTGTCTCCAGTTGTCTTCTGTTTGCTTGAGCAAATCTTCTAAGGCTAATTGTAAATAACAACCCATTAAGCATGGGGAAGTATCAGGTGCTGTTCACTGTAGCTGAGTAATTCCATTGAGCTGGGTGGAAAGACGGGTTCACCTGACTGCTTGTTTCGGCTGGTTTGTGGGCTCTTAAATGCCAGTCATTATATCCTAGCTATAGATTTTGCAGCAGAGTCCTTAAATCCGTGGTAGGTACCATACCCAGTTTACAATGACCACTAGATGCCTGCAGGCAAAGTGTGTGGATCCCACTTTCTTGAAAGCAGTCAGTCTGGCTCACCAGTTCTAGCCTGCCAGCTGAAGGGTAGGCATGTTTCTAAAATCCTGTCTGCCTACTTCTGACTCTGTCAGAACAAGCCATCACTGTGAAACAAAAGATTCTTCTAACATTTTGCAGAGAACGTTTCCAAGAACTCAACTGGAATTCTTGGTATTGAGTTATTTTTACAATTCAGCTGGAATAGAATTGTCTCACTGAAGTCGTTAACAATAGATTCACATAACGGGCTCTTCTGAGATGTTGCTCTGCCAGATGTAATACACAATTCTGTTCCGTATACAGATTTTTTTTTTTTTTTTTTTTATTAAAATTTTAAGCTTGAATCTTAGCCACCCTGGTAATTTTTTCCCCCCCCCCCCACTGCAGTGCCCTGAGGGCACATATTTGAAATATTTCATCTTCAGCTGTGAATAACTAAACTAAATGACTAGTGTGCACAAAAAAAAACACCACACCACACTGAACAATAATGGGCTCTAAGCAGAGCCACTGAAACCATTCTGAAATTCTGAAACCTGGTACTGCTTTAATGTGTTGATACAAAAAACTGCTGAGAAACCATGCTTTCCAGCTACCTTTTTTTTCTTCTCCAGACTTCAATTCTTACTCTTTTGATGGCCATACCATGATGACTTCAGTCCACTCTGAGAATGCTGTGGGATTGTTTGTTTTGTTTTAATAATTATGGCTTTAGGATTTCTGACTTAATATGAAACAAAAACTAGTTAGATTTTAAAAGAATTGGGAAGAAGAGAGAATAATACCAGACTAGAGGCTGTTCCTAATGTGAATGTGACTTAGTTTCAACATCCTTATAATGCTGATAAGCATACTCACATCCACGAGTGATTCATTGGGCAACTTGGCATTTTATATTTTGGAACAAAAACAACCATGTAGTTGCTTTTCCAAATAGAATGGAATGATTTTTAGGCTCAATTTTTTCACGTGTAGGACATCAAAGGAGTTCAAAGAAACCAACTTTGCCACTGTAGACTGGTTGCCAAATTTCTTGGAAAAGGTGTGTATATATAGATCGTTACAACAGTAGGGCTTTTATCTTAAGTGTGCTTTCCCCTTTCTGTAACAGATGGCAGAGGAAGAATGTCATTTTGGAAGACCATGTACAGGCATGCTTATTATGTAGAAGCTTTGACCAAAACTTTTGGCATTCTGGTATCTGTCGACTGGAGATTTTGTGGCAGCTTCAGATGTTTGACATACTTGAGTGTTAAATGCCAAAGCTGAGCAATTTAATCAACTGTGCCTTTTCTTGCAACTTAGTATTCCATCCATTTTATGGAATGCGCAGTAAATTTCTTTAGTTTTCAAAAGGATGCCTAACTTTATATGGAAATGTATCACATTTGTGGTAATCTGAATAACAGATACATTGTTGGACAGTAGCAGTTCTGGCATCTTGATGGAGATGGGAAGGATCTGTGGTATGAAATGTTTCCTAGAGGGATTCTGACTTCTCTTTCCTAAACTGTACAGGTTTCTCATTGACACATCACTCAGATTTTATTAAAAAGGTTATATTTCATCTGAGCTATCATTGTTTTTAGCTTCATGTAGATGGTACGTTATGAGTTTCTACATATGTGGAAGGGCTGCCTTTATATAATTCCTACAAAAGGAAGTCCTGCTTCTGTTGCTCTACAAACTACTGCCATTTGAAATGCCTGTATGAGATGATGGGAAATTTCCTCCAGATGGGCTCCTCTGAGCTACTTTTTCTGAGGTGGATGTGCCTCAGATCAGAAACTTTACAGTAGGCTGTGTCGTGCAGCCTGATCTGTGTCCACAGAACTAGCACCCCAGTCCCAGAGGCTATAATGAGACTGATACTAGATTGTTCTAATATAAATGGATGACAAGCTAAGCTTGAAAATTATCTGAAAGGCTGGATTTTTGATGCACAAAGCCTCATTGGCATGTTTAGATATTAACCTAATATTTACTACTCCAAGTTCTGCATGGCCTTTCTACAGGCATCAGGTGGTTTCAGGATGTAGGTTAGGAGCTTAGTCACTGACGTGTTGTCACTGATAAATATACTTAGCTTCTAAGTGAACTTATGATGGAATCTGTCACTTATGAAAACTATTGTTGTTTAACCAGTATGAACAAATAATTTCAGAATTCTCTTACAGTAACTTTGTTTACCATATTGAGCAGGCTACAAGTCTGACAGCTCCTTAATATCAGAGTTCCTAGAGACCAAGTTTCTAAAGTTGGTCACTTACCACTGTTGCTTTCTCTGGTTCCCAAGTCTGAATGAAATTACCACTCGGAATAGTTTTCAAAATGATTACTGAAAATAACATGTATAAAACTGTCTCTTAATTTTGTGATGAGTTACATATCAAAGTTGTGTTTCTTCCCTGGTGTCTTGTCCCACTGTATTGCAGAAGCTGTCTTTTCGTCTAGGTGCAGTATTTGGAACGTAAGCCAATGGATCAGGTCGGATCAAGTATCTGTAAAAAGAAATTACAACTCTTATTATAAGGACTTGGTGTGAGCAAGGACAAAATAATTTTCTACTGCTCTGCCATTGCTGAAAAGATTTGAGGAAGAGTTTGAACCTTATTTTGAAGGTGCTCAGTCTACTTCCTACTACGTAACTTGTGTACTTGAGTATATACTGCTCCCATCAGATAATTAAAAAAAGCTGTTTACGTTATATCCACCTAAACATTATCTGGACATACTGGCCACATGCAAATCCTGATTTTTGACTCCTGATGCTATTACTGCCTGACTCAGAGCTCCTTTGATCTTTTAGATATGTCAGCTCTATTCCTGGGCATCCACTGCAGTCCTTGAACATACAAGTTTGCCAGTAACTATATATTCCCTTATACATCCCCTTTATTCATTATGCCGTAAAGAAGGGACACGCGCTCCACAGACTTATTTCTAGAAGGATTTTGTAGGG